CCATGACCGGAAGTGACGGGTACAGCAGCCTACAGGACACATATGAAGCACCTTATCAACACCCAAGCCAAACCTTCACCATTACTTTTCCCACGTCCTTCGCCCCAGCCGTCTCACCCCGTTCATCCTATTCGGTGTCAGAAACAGCTCGGGTGACGCCCAAAATGCGGCTCCTTTCACTCCGTTCATTCCATTCGGTGTCAGAAAGCAGCGCGAGTGACGCCCAAAATGCGGCTCCTCTCACTCCGTTCATTCCATTCGGTGTCAGAAAGCAGCGCGAGTGACGCCCAAAATGCGGCTCCTGGAGTGGTCTAGGCGGTCGGGAGGTAAGTCCTATCGAGCGTCACTGTTACGGATAAAGGAGCATACGTCACATATGCTACGAACATAGGAATATCATCAGGAATATCATCCGTGGTACACTTACGTTCGACAGATACTTCTACTCAGAATAGAGAATAACTAGGAAACAGGGAAAGAAAGGTTCACAATAAGGCTTCTCCTGCTGGAAGCATCGATTTCGCATTCGCTAGGATTAAGCATTCATCGTGTTGCGGTGTTCGATGTTCTGGAAACCGAGAACATTCACCTAGGTTCTTATCTTTATTTGTTTTGGAAGTACCGTGAAAAAGCTAACTCATGCTAGGACAATGAAGCAATTGTGACATGTTTCCCCAGACTCTGGCAGCCATTAAGCACAAAATTCAACCGTTCTAACCAAAATATAGTGACACGTTTTCACATGAGCACTGCCGACTTTGTCTCTGAAGGTGATTTTCCGTGCGAACGGCTTCTACGCTACACTGCATGACGCATACTGTTGATGAATTGCAAATACTAGTCTCTTATAAAAGAACATAAGGATGAAGAGAACATCATTTCATTGATCATTTTGTTTATTTCCCTCTCCAAATGATCGCTTTCGGCCGTTCAAGCGCTACCTTTCGTGGCTTAAGCCGCAAGTGAAAGTCTTCAGAGTTTTACCTGATTAAGCTCTCTAAAGTTGTCATGCCTGTGTTCAGTTATTACAAGTGGCCAAATGTTTCACATTTTTAAGAGGTTTATGTGCCTTGTGTAAAAATGGCTTGCAAAAAGAGTCGGCAGGTAAGAAGAGGTCCACGATAAGTCAGAGACGCCAGGTATGGCATGAACCGTGAGGTATGCTAGTGTTAACAATGCCATTTTTAAAGCACGACCATATATTATGAATGGCCATTGCTTGTGACGTTAATCGACTGAACATCTTAACAATCATTAAGATCTTAATGAGACAGTCTTCATCATGATCGTAAGGTTATTAACTATCCATACGATCAGTCACACGCGCCTAGAAACATTTGAGCACTGATGAAAAAGTTACTTTGTTTGCCAGGGGAGTCGCGTCGAGACTTGGTGTGTTATAAACCATGGTGAAAGCCTCCAGCTGACATGGAGGGGGGGGGGGGTTGGGGTTGGGGGGGGGGTATTGGGCTGGCAAGGATCGCTGGTGAGCAGGGAGCCTCTCTTCTGTCACCACACAGCCTCGAAATGTTCTACCAATGCTTTTCACTTCGCGACCAAGGGAACAGTGCTTACATAGAGGTGGGCAATCGGTCTCCCTCGTGGTGACAGCGGCGAGGAGACCCCACGCGACCAGAGGGCACGCGCCGAACAAGACGACCCTTTGTCATCGCAGCCACCGAATGCACGGTGTATAGAGTAATTGTATGATGCATGGAAAGCCTCTCTAAAATCACAGAGTCCCGAGAAGTTGCTGGACCCCATCGGGATTTTGAGTCGGCACGACACATCTCGTACTGCTTGAGACATGCATGGCGACACAATGCAGTGCGTGCCGCGATAAGCCTCCTCCCAATATTTTCACATCGATCATTCAGTTTGCACGACGGCCAAACGCGATCACGAGAAACACGAGAAACATAAGGTTGCATTGCGGCTTTGAGAAGAATTTCCTTGTTGTCACTGCCCGATCTCGCATTGCCTGCTCCCTCTGACCCCATTTTTAGGGGATGGGTGGGGATAGCCGGTACCGTCAAGTCCCCCCTTTTTTGGTTCCTCACAGTTTTTGGGCCCAGATTCATTCCTCGGAATCCACGTATTCTTGGCGTCCAGCTGGTGCCTTTGGTTTTCATGGCGCCGCTATGGTTTTGAACCCCACACAAATTCTGACCTCCAGGTTATTGAGACCTCAGCTGCCATGCACGGCAAATGAGCATCTCGACGCACGAGGGGCACCGTAACAGGCGTTTGCGATAAGGTGCTCTTCAGGTCTTCCAGCATCCTGGAACCCACAATATATTCTTGCAGTCCCAATGCCGTCCTGATGAGACCACATTGACAGCAATGTGGATCATCAGGAGCGTCATCAGGGAGCGTCATCAGGGGGCGTCAGTAACATTGGCCCTCACGCTGATTACATAACCCGTTGCCCGTCATAACGGGCTCAGCTTACTAAGCATCTCGCGATTTCAAGATCCTCACGTTTCCCTGATCTCCGTCGTCTCTGAAACCACGAGGCTCTCAAACTGAGTCGGAACCCCATCAGACGGTGGGTGTAGCTTAGAGCCCTGGTCTCCCAGGGCCCTGGAAAACACCACATAGACCTAGTGGCGGATCCAGGATTTGGCCAAGCGGTGGGGAGGGCCTTTGAAAAGATTCTGGGATCAGAGACCACATTTTGCGGGGTCTGTTGCGTGAGCCCTGCCTCCATCTTTCGGTTGTGAAATGCTAGTTCAACGGCAGGTTTTTTGCGGCGAAAGTTTGATATGCTGCCATGCTCGGCATGGTCCGCCCCGCCCTCTGACCTCATCTGACCTCGTCTGACCGTGAAGGGCCGCCGCCACCGGCCGTGGGCCAACCCAGCCAGGGGCGAATAACGAGCGGCTCGAACCCACCCACCACGCCACAGGTAGGACGGAAGGCAGGCGATCCAACCGATTGACCTACGGCAGCGGAGACTGAGACCTCGCCACGCTGACAGGGCTCCTCCCCACCAAAAAGCCGGGTGGCTGAAAACGGCAGCAGGTAATGCACGGAGACGACCTGGGCGAAGCATTAAGACTCTTAAGGTGACAAGTATGGCGAAACGGGGCTAATGAATAAGCAATACCTTCTTTGCTGCAAAGCTTTGATGCTCCAGCCACAAATGGTACATGGCAAGGGGATCTTCAAAAAGACATGCTTACTGCAGTCTAAATATGAAAAAAGTTCTGAGAAAGACATGTCGGACAGTGTACTTTTTCAGTATAGAGACGGTACATCAGGTCGGGGAGAGCCAGAAAGCCTTCCTGAATAGGTTAAAATGTCGATGAAAATACACAATTTTCAGCTCTTAGGAGAGTCACAGAAAATCTATGTGTCCGATAAATCAACGCACACGTAAAGCTCCAGAAACAGCGTAGGGCCCGGCGAGCCACTCCGAAGAGCCAACACCGATGTAGAGGTCCACTGAGCGGCCGGGAGTGCACTAGCCGACTGGCATACAGGGCCGTCAATGACAGCGTATAACCTTCCGGGAAAATGGAAAGACACCAGATTGATATAGGTGGCCTTTGAGCGATTGAGGACGTTGCGGTGGTGCACTACGACGAGCGGCTGTGAACGCCATGGGTCCTCCAAACCAACGGAAATAAGTAAAGACCAATAAAGTGACCCCTGGTCCATCGAGAGCGTCCGACAGGCTAAGAGTTAGAGTCTCCGTCAAGACCGCAAGGCTCTCCACAAATGGGAGCAAATGGAAAAAGGCCTGGACCAATCGAGAGCGCCCTGAGGATGTCGAGAACGTCTCGGAAGATTGAACTTTGGAAATCGCGGCAACAGATGACTCTGCGAGCAGATGGGAAGAATCCGAGACTAATGTGGAGAGCCCTGGACAATCGGGAGTGCCCAGATTGTTTAGCAAGCAGACCTCTGGCAAGAGCATATGGCATCCTGCAAATTGAGGCAAATGAGATGATACTACACCGGCTCTTGAGACCTCGAGAACATATCTTGAGTGTAGAGTCCTCCGAGCAAGTGGGGAACTGGAACTGAAAAAATGGGAAACTGTCGCATTGTGGGGTTTTGCCCCCTCCCCAAGTCGGACAAAAATCCCTCGCTCCCGGGTAAAACCCAAGACCAGCGTGAAGGATCCCTGAATGACCGAGTGTCTCGGGCGAGTGAATATAAAGATATTCATGCAACATCGTGCGGAACACCCTTCGTTCCTTCTGTCCCGTCCTCAGCAGGGAAGAACGTAAAACCAATGTGAAAGTACCCTGAATGATCGAAAGTGCCTGGGAAAATGAACATATAACGCCCCCGGGAGCAGCGCAGGGCCCTTGGCCAGCATAATGGGCGCCAAGAACTTCTCAACCACTACCATCTCGTTCAGCCAAGGGTTCTTCTATCTGCTTATGAGTCTGCTATGTGGGCTTAGAGACATGCTTGATCGCCTGGAGGCCCGAAGACGTCAAACTTGTATCCTTATGTTACATATTTGTACAGTTTTAGCCGGCTATAGCCCCTTCTGAGCCCAGCGGGATATGTGCAAGCGGGGTCACAGGGTCCAACGGACGCCGTGATCCCGCTCTGGATCCGCCGCTAGACAGGCCTGCTTTTTGGAGGCGCCCGAGCATGCTAGGGAAACGGCTTATTGCACTTAAATAAGCAATCTCGAATGCGGCTTGGAATCAATTTTTAGCTATTGCCTTCCAACTATTGTTAACGTCATTTTGGCAGCACAGCAGTCCACGAGCGATAGATGACTTGAAGCGCGACAAGAATTCAGCGGAGGCAAGCATGAATCACGTGATACATTTTTCTCGGCAATCGCATGGCATTAGGTTTTTGCTTCCGCGAACGTGATGCTGGAAACCGGCCATAATTGGCCATACCAGAAGCACTAACACATTCAAGTACAACTGAACAAACGGCAAATTAGAGACAGTTTCAACGCACTATAGACGGTTATAAAAAAACACTCGTTTCCTAGACTATGTGAGCTGCGCAGGGGCTGAAAACTTGTGACAGTGGTTGTGTACAGGTTTGCAGTGAGTGTTCTATTGCATTTTGTAGCACTTTGATAAATCTGGTTTGCACTCATGGCCAAGCCCTACAATGACCTTTAAGCAGGCACGTATGCTACGTTACTTAAGGTGTTTTTTTTTTGTATTACGACTGGTCTGCTTTGCACCTTTTGGAAAGCATGCCCAAATTGCTGGTCTTGGCTGGTGTGTATACCTGGAGTGCTTATCTACTCACAGTTAGTGATTGTCATGATATGGATAGCTTTTTCAACAGGTGCAATATGTTAATGTTTGATTACAATGTTCTTATGGGGTGTAGAAGTTTATACAAATTGTATATTGTACAGCCAAAAAAGAAACATGATGTGAAAGTTTTGAATTTCTGAGAAAATGTTGTCTTAAGAGTTCCCAGAACAGGGAAGCCAATCCGCAGACTGTGGCAAACATGCCAAACAAACTGTTTGGGACCAATGTGACTGCCCCATGTAGGATAACAAACTGGGCCATTTGGGACAGATATTGCCAATCTTACCTACTCTAAAAGTGCAGGATTTTCCATCAGAGATGATGATTTTCTGTGATCTTGCCAATTTTGTATATCAAAGAATGTCAAGTTGTTCTCTAATCTGATTCAATTCTTTCTGCCTTCAAGTTTTGGTAAGATACCACTCATTAAAAGCTGTGCCCTACCTCTGGCCTAAATAGATGTCAGAATATGTCATGGTCTACCATCTGGCAGGAAATTGACACTAAATGACTCAGGCTGTCAGAAACTATCAACATATTGAGACAATCTAAACTTCTTTATGACTGATAAGGTCGGGAGCTTGCTTGTGTGATGCAAGTAGCCAGCAAAGCCTGTTGTACAGTAGTAGTCAGAATTCTGTCATATTGTTGTGGTATTGCTATGCTTGTTGGCTGTCAGGGCCCCTGAAGGTCGTGGTACTTTACCAGGATCCAAAAACAACATGAGTGCTGATAGTATAGTGGTTAACATGCCTGTGTTAACAGCTGCACATCTGGGAGACCAGAGGTACAAGGTTTGATTCCATGCAGTGCCCACCCTTTCTGCCAGGCTGAGAGGCAATCAACACCATTTAGGCCCAGCATCTAAGTGTATCATAAAGTGTCAATGGTGACAACAAAAAGCATGGTGTATTGGATGATGGTCTTTGCTTGGATATCAACAGAAGCTTCTTACCAACAATTACAAGCTTAATTTGTATTGGTCTCCTCATTGGCCCACATTCTGAACTGTCTCAGTGCTAAATGTTTGTGTGCAGTGCAGTGCTAAATTTGGGCTGATTAAGTAGTGAAATGCAAACAACTAAGTGTGGATTGGATTCTCCCAGGTGCTTTTCGCTCCCAGGCCTCTGCTAGCCCGGGTACTACTTGATGCCTCAAGTGTAAGGGCTTAGTATAACATATCTCCAAGATGATTTTTTGTGAGGGGGTGGAGCATCAGAATTGGGAGGGTCAAACTAGACTGAATAGTGCAACCTGACCTAAAAATAACATTTTTGATGAGCAAAACCTTGAACCAATTCTAACAATCTCGGAACCTATGCTTGTCTTGATGCCCATTGACCATTTTGAACCACCTTGCAATTTGGGTTGCTAAGGCTGCTAGCTGGTCAGGTTGGTGAGGCTGTTGATTGGTGAGATTGGACAGACTGTGATGCTGTCACCAGTGGTCATTTGGCCTGGTCATAGTGCACCAAAACTTCAGTCCCTTTTCCGAGGGGTCACTCAATTTGCAACAGTGGCTGCAGGATGTCACATGACAATCTGCTGGGATGTGAGTCCTCTGGTTTGGCGAGCATCTGTGGACTTCAGTCTGCCATTCACAGGCTACACAAGCCAGCCAAGGCCCTAACCTCAAGGGGATTGGGGGGGGGGGGGGGGGGCGAGATAAGCCTGGACTGTTGCATATTGACAACAGGTGGATTAGTGCCTCCTCACATCTCAGGGTCATAACATTGTCCTATAAGACCATTCTCAGATTGGAGAGATTTTCTATGAATGACAAGCTGGCATGCATTACATGGTATATTAACCTTTACTGATCAGGTTACTAGTTCTTGATTAGTTAAGCCATGATTGTCAAGCATGGTGTGAAATGGAAATCTCCATATCATGTTTGGTGCAGTCCACCATTGCTTGACATCCCTTCCCAAAGCAGCGGAGTACAGGATCCTCCGGGCGTTCCAAAATGTTTTGGTATACACTATAGAAATGATGCCATTTTTATCTTTTTTTTGTAATGTCCCGTCACTAAGCCCTCAATGCATGCAAGAACCACCTCGTGACTGCTCGTCCGAGGACAGTTGGTGGACTCGTAGCTTAGTTAAACTGGAACGAAATGGAGAAGTTTATTTTTGGTTGCTTTTTTGCAGAAAATGATAGGATGGTCATGCTCAAAGTGGAATCCAATGTTGAAGGGGTGAACCTTTTTGAAAATGTCGTACATTGTATCCCAGAGCTTGGTAAAATGTTTGTGAAAGGCGATATTTGTATGCCGGCCACAAGCGTGATCACCCTGAGTTGCGACTGTCATGCAGATCTATCCTTTCACAAACCATTTTTACCCAGACAGCCCTAAGTGTCGCAGATAAGTACTTTAGTTGACACACCCTTTAAACCCAATAACGAATTAATGGTAGCTCTGAGAGCATCCATCAATAAACAAACTGTGCGAGCTTTGTGATGATGAAGCATGCTTTTTTCTGCTTTATAGAAGAACAAGACCGATCTCTAAAGATGACGTCTGGAGACCGCCCATATCTCAGAAGTGCTATTGGCAAATCACTGTATGAGAAAATCAAGAGTGACGAACAGTTGAAACTGATGGATAAGTCCCAGGTAAGTCACACTCATATCACTCCTTACTTTCGAATCAATTTTGATGGGATCATGAGTGCGACCAGTACAGCTAATGTGCTCGATAAAAGGTTTATCAGTGCCAGCTTGTACAACCATCCTTTACACATTTTTATTTTATTCAGGGAAGCGCTACGCGAGTCGTGCTCCCTTTTATGGAGCGCTATCGACTACAGTCGCCATAGTAGCGTTCAGGGGCCATGGCGCAACCATGGCCTCCACGTGGAAGCCGGAGGCGCCAACCACTCGGCCAACGGTGTGATGAGAGCAATCACAAAAACAAAACAGTAAATTATGTTGCTCCTAAATCACACCAGGCTATGTTTCCTTTTAGCTTCTGGATTGCAGCTGCACATTGTAGCTATATTTCAAGATCATGGCGAACGCAATGCTCTTAAATGTGGCACTGAAGGGGGCAAAATCGGATGTGCGGGTTGACGGCGGGGCTGTCACTGCGATGCCAAATTCCGTGGGGCACCCTTAGCAAAAATCCTGTTTCCTCGGAAGTGTGTGTTCGGTACACAGGGATGCCCATTTAGCTCCTGTTCCGTCATGTCGCGTTTTGTCGCTGTGTTGTGACGTGCCAGCAAAGCAGTCCAGGATAGAGGGCGGGGCTGGGGTAGGAGGGGCGGAGGCTGGATGGGAGGAGGTAGCAAACCACAATTAAGCGAGCCTTTAACGCCATGGCAGTGCATATCCAGGCCTCACGTGCCAACGTTTTTTTTTTTGCGCGAACACCTTGGCAAACAAGTACCTTGCACAATCTGCTCAGTTATTCGACCGATGGGCGCCATACGACCATTGAAGTCAGCGCGCCCAAAAGCCCAAATCATCATCCTCATCACCATGTTTTATTCAGCCGATGATTCATGATTGGATGTGCCGTGAGGACAGCGTGAGGTAGGATTGCGCACTTGTCAGGCCTGCTGGTGCGAACACCTCCGCGAAATTCACCATTCCAAGAGAACAGGACTTGCTGTGGTACCTGGCGGTGTTCATGTCTGGCAGGTACCTCTGATGATGTCGAACGGCTCATATGCTGGCGATTCAGGTCGTTTGAGGTTTGAGCCTGGAACTTTAGTAGAACCAGCGCGGATCACTGACAGATCGTCACTTTTTTTAATGAAATAAGCAAGTAGACGAGACAGTATTAATAGCCTTGTTCCGCGTAGAATGAACAGGAGGACAAAAATGGATGTGATTTTTCGGCTACATACCGTTATTATTATTTATGCCGTATTTATTATTAGTTATCAAAATTCGTCTCGCTAAAGGCATGTTGCCGAAATATCACATCCATTTCATCATTCTCCTGTTTATTTTACGAGGAACAAGGCCATTAACACTATCTCATCTGTATGCGTAATGTTCCTCACAAATGCGCTTTACAGCTAACGAAATAAGCAAGTTGTAAAAATTTGTTGTGAAGTAAACTCGAAGTCCAGACGGATATCGCAACTTACTGGCGTCATTCGATGACAAGTCGGGCATATGTGGGTACTGATCGCGACGATCTGGCCTGTTCTGTTGTCCACTGTTTTCAATGTTGTGCGTTGGATTTCCATCAGAGAGGAAATGACCAGCCAGCTCAAACTGTTCATCTTCTCCAAAAAAAAAAACAACAAAAAACCCACCGGCTCGCTACCCCACGCACCGACTAATCTCAGCGGCTACGTGCTAGCCAACAAAAACGGTGCTGCATTGTCGCTCACCGTCTTCATGTGGCCCAGGAAAAGCGGCCAGCTGCTGCCCCGCGGCAGAGAAGAGGGGGGGGGGGGGGGGAGGGGACAATCCATCCCGTTTGCGGTGAATGTTTCTGCCTGTGTGTTCTGTGGCCGGAGCCAGTGCTGACCGGCGGCGGTCCGCACCGGGCCGCAGTGGTACGCAGTGGACCTGAGCCAGGTGGACCCGAGCCACGCCGAGCTCTTCCTGCCGCTCGGCGTCGACGACGAGACGGAGGCGTTCCTGGAGCGGTGTCACGAGAAGTCCGACTGGATCTTCAGCCAGCTCTGGCACAGCGTCGTCAAGGCCGTGCTCACCGTCTTCATGACGCACACCTCCGTCAACGGGTAGGTGCCCACGCGGTGGCGTGACGCGGGTGGACTGATGCGGGCGCCTTCAAGAGTGACGTGGTCCTCGGGGAAGTACAGATGCGCTGTGATGGTGTGACCAGAGAGTGCGACTCTGGGTACAAATGTGAGAACTGGAAATAATTTACTTGCGACATCCATCTTGACGTTTTACGCATATTGCTGGATTCAAGTGCATGCTTTTTCACATTTCCTGCTTCTTTGAATAGCACCTGATGTCTTGATCCATGAAACGTGCATTTCCCGTGTGCTATACTTTTTCATGTTAGCCTCTGACGTCTACTTCGCCAGTCACTCCTGTTGTTCTTCTTCCCGTAGCTGAGTGGGCACGTGCTCGGTTCACCGCATAGTTGACACTGCGGTAGACACCAGGGTTGCCGTCGCTCCCACCTCTGAGCTGCCTGTCTGCCGGACCCGAGCACGGCTAGGCTGGCCAGCCACCAGGCGGCTTTTGACGGACACCTGACGTCACGAAGAGTCGTAAAGACTTGGCGCACGCAGCAGGTCTACACAGCGACCCTGTGTGCGGCAGACTCTCCCGCACGCGACGCGGCTCGCGTGTTCTCAATACACAAACAACATGTGGAATAACGCACACTGAAGGGCATTGAGGCGCTGACAGTGCAGTGCGATCGCGCACCATACGTATACTGAGAACTCTCCGCTCCAGTCAGTGCAGCAGTGTAGCGCGCTGTTTGTGCGGCCCCGGCATCCAAGCAGCGGCGGCGACATTCTACCACTACTTACGTGTGGAGGTTTCCTAACGTATGAAGTCGCGTCCTGTCCTGTCCCACTGTCAAGTCCTGTTCAAGTCTCGCATCGCAAATTTGTCATTTGATTCGGAATCCCGTTTGGCCGTTGTAACGTCCGCTGCACGTGATAACCGAGAACGTGAGACATCTGGCTCGTGGGAAAGAATATCTCCGGCATTTGCGGAAGGCCAAAACATCTCAGATCCAGACTGGATTCCAGCGACCACGTCTGGCAGCGATACGGGACAATTGAAATGGACGGAGAGAAGAACGGCCAATTATTGTCAAAGACGCGAGCCTGGCCTGACAATGTGCATGTTTACGCGGATGAGCATTTTTCTCTCTACTGATATTAGTGTATTCCAACTTTGCGTTTGAGACTGAGCGGGTGGAGCACTTAGAGCACACACACTCCGCCGAAGGGCTTCATTTTGCTGCGCCTAATTACGATGCCTTTAGGAGATGAGTGAACTGAGAGCCTCATTCCGCTTCATTTGACCGAGCTACGGGATTACGGGAAGATGGAAGAGCTCGGGTGATATCGGCGCAATCCTGAGCTTCCACCGTTGCGATCTTCCCCGCACGTTGGCTAGACTTGGGGGTGCGTGTGTGTGTGCTAGGGCGGGTGACTGTGGGTGTGTGTGTGTGTGTGCTAGGGCGGGTGACTGTGGGTGTGTGTGTGCTAGGGCGGGACTCGCGCTGGGGTGACCGCAAGGACGACTCATGGCTGATGGCGCAGAACGCTGAGACAAGGCGTTGCAGGTGGCGGTAGGGAGGGGGGCAGAGGGGATGGGCTGTAATGGCCTGTAAACCCTGAGAACTTACAGGTGGAGGCGTGAGACGTGACGACATTGGAGACGAGACGAGACGGGACGAGACGAGACGAGACGAGACGAGACGAGACGAGACGAGACGAGACGAGACGAGACGAGACGAGACGAGACGAGACGCGACGCGACGAAGTGGGAAATGATCTTGGAGGCAAATTTTATGAGATTAGCCGGCAATAAAGGTAAGGGAGGTGTTCGTAAGAGCTGTAACGTGTCCGGTGGCCAGAGACCCTTTGCCCATTGGGCGACTCCGGTAGTACGACTGACCCGATTGACCGTTCCTACAGCCTGTGTGGCACCATACGTAAGGCTTATAACCTGTTTCAAATTGTGTTACAAGTTGCGACCGACCGGATCGTAAAGCGCCATGTCAGCCGTTTAATTGAGGATAATACCCGGATCACTGAGGGTGGAAGGCGTTTCGTTAATTACGGGCGCTGCCAACGAGCAATGTTTTCTAGTTTGACAATGGCAGCGCTTTCCCTTTGGACGATTTTGCTGGTGTTATCTCGACCAGTGCATCGTCAGCTTAATTGCTTCACCTTTGATGGCGTTGGCGAACGTTCCGGCTACAAGTCACGAATCGAGCTCAATGCTGTCCGGCCGAAGGGGGTGCTAGCAAGCAATCAAGCTCAACGCTGTCTGGCCGAAGGGAATGCTAGTAAGCAATCAAGCTCAATGCTGCCCGGCCGAAGGGGATGCTAGTAAGCAATCAAGCTCAATGCTGTCCGGCCGAAGGGGGTGCTGGCAAGCAATCAAGCTCAATGCTGTCTGGCCGAAGGGGGTGCTAGCAAGCAATCCAACTCAATGCTGTCCGGCCGAAGGGGGTGCTAGCAAGCAATCAAGCTCAATGCTGTCCGGCCGAAGGGGGTGCTGGCAAGCAATCAAGCTCAATGCTGTCCGACCGAAGGGGATGCTAGTAAGCAATCAAGCTTAATGCTGTCCGGCCGAAGGGGGTTCTAGCGAGCAATCGAGTTCAGTGCTGTCCGGCCGGAGGGGGTGCTAGCGAGCAATCAAGCTCAATGCTGTCCGGCCGAAGGGGATGCTAGTAAGCAATCATGCTCAATGCCGCCCGGCCGAAGGGATGCTAGTAAGCAATCCAACGGGAACCAGCCAGCGTTTGAAACGCGTTCCGAATACTAAGATGCTATGAAATGTCCCATCCACCGCAGCTCCTCGTATGTCGTGAGTGCCGCGACAAGTGCTAGTTGTTTCTTTTTTCCACGCGAGTGTGAGAAATAGCGTCCGTCGTCAGTTCGTGTTCCACTTGTGAATTCTGACGTTCCGCTTCCGTCCGGCCTCCGCTAGCGCAGCGTACCCGATCCTGTGATTGGTCTGGCAGACCATGAACGACATGATTTATTTCAGTCGGAACTTTTCTAAGCATTCCGGCTCTCAATTCCGGCAAATTTGGGACTGTTGCGCAACGCCCAGTCGGCTGTGATTCCTAAAGAACGTTCAGTTGATCGCGATCATCGGGATCATTGCGTAACCTGCCCAAGTGGTCTGTATATATTTTAAGGTGGCGGCACATTGCCACCTCACTCGGGGCCAGGCCATCGTAGCATCCGACCGCCCGCAGGTTGCGAGAAGCACGCGCACACGACCCCACCCACAGGCACTCGCGAGTGTCACACCCGCGTGCGCGCTTGTGACATCACGCACGCGCGCACGCAGCTGCGGGATCCAGACTGATGCCGATGCAATGGTGACGCGACCCGGCCGCGATTGGATACTGGACCGGATCCACGGACGACCGGATCCACGGACGGCCCATCAGCTGACGGCGTCGGCGTTCATGGAAGGCGTCGGGTCGGCCTGGGGCTTGCTGCTGCGCCCCGGCCACCATGGCCTGTCAATGTGATCGGAAGAGGCCCGGACCACCAGTGGGCCCTGCGAGACGCGACGAATAACTTCTGTAGCATTGTACGCGGCTGACGGCCGGAGGCGCCGCCGGGCCGCGGAGGCTCCGCCCACCGCCGAGTGCCTCGTTAATCCGGCACCCAGATTTGGTCCGATCAGTCGGGCGTATTTTCAATGGATTTTTTAGCCGGGAGATCCGGGCTCTGAATAATCAATGCAAGACGTGTGGCGGCTGAATTCGGAGTCGTCTGAGACGGCGGCGAGGTGGCGGCTCGGAAACCGTGGGCTGTGTGTGGGGGGGGGGGGGGGGGGGCAGGCGGCGGTCTGAAAACCGGCTAGTGACGAGAGAAGGAAGGCGCGCTAAGGTGACTACAGTGGGGAAGGGACGGGGAGCGGCGGTGGGCAGCTGCAGGACATGGGGAGGGGAGGCGGTGGTGTCGTAACGGCGACACCTTGTGCAATAGTTTGGACACCGGGCAGTCAAAGGGGTAGCTGCATGAAAACCATGAGAGGCGAGCCAGGAGGCAGTGCTATCTACGCGAAGTGGGGAATGTGGAGGGAAGGCGGCAGTAGGACAGTTATGGAGGATGAGACAGGGGACTTCCACCCGCTCACTGGTTTCCATGCTGCGTTCTGCATCCTCGCAATGGCTCACTGCAGCGGAATTATTCCCCGGCGATCCCTTGTGCGTCTGTCTCGCGGCCGTCCCGGCTGCCGGGCCCATCCGAGCGTCGTCCCCCGCGCTGTGCGGTGGAGACGCCGGTGCGTTACTCAGACCTGGGGCCGACATAGGATGAGTGCTCTGTCTCTTCTTACTCCATTGCGTGTCTCTGCTCTGATGCGCACAACCCCGAAGGCTGATATGTAGGCGGAGAGAACTCCGACCGCAGATTACAAACAAGCTGCAAACAAAGGGTTGGCAGGTGACGGCCTGCTAACTCTGTGGCGGTATGTAACCCTAGCGCCGCGGGCGACGGCAGATGCGGTATTGGCATGGCCCGCTGTGGGCCACGGGGAAGGGGAGGGTACGTCCACTGAACGGGTGGGGTGGGGGTTGGCGACATGGTGAGGTGGCACTGAGAGGGACGAGATGGTCATACGACACCGGTAGGTCACACTGGAGCACACCGGCGCGCCTGCGGTGGCCCGCTCTGCCCGCCGATTTGGGCCTTGTTGTGCCGAGCGTGGGACGATCTCTCTCATAATTAGCGGAGTCTCTCTCTCGCGGCGGCGGCGCACCGGCTGATTCATGGTCGGGTGGCGAATTATCGCCCGCCCCGCTGGTCGCTGATCGCCGATGGCCGGATTATACATGCGCCCGTCCCTGCTTAATAGGCTGTAAGAGGTGTCCCGCCGGGAGGGGTAGGCGGCCGGCGCGGCGGGCCCGACCATGCGTCATCGAGATCCTGTCAGGGGCCCCGCGTCGCGTCATCGGGTCCCGGGGTCCCTGGGTCAGTGGGTGCCGGTGGTGCGGGGAACTCGTGCAGCGTCATCTGGGCCCTGAGAGGGGACCAGAGCTGCGTGATCGATACCA